TGCTTTCCCAGAGCGTTCGCCAAGACTAACTATACTTGTCAAGGCTCCGAACGCATTGTTCCCTATACTGTTCATCGTGTTGATACCGGAACCTGTATTTGCTGTAGCTTTGCATAAATCAGTATCAGATTCCTTCAAGTTTCTCGAAGGCGACGTACTGGGACATAATTTCAGTAGGATTGGAGCTACCGAAGCTTGTCTGTCTATTTCGGTCGGATATATTGCGAGAATTGAATCTCCACCTTGCCGAAGACCGGCTAAAACCACAAGACTATCTGCAAAGTCCTCTACCGCAAGGCAAGTAACTTCGCCTTCGATATCAAACACTTTCCGTAAGGAAACTTCGAGACCAACAATGCTAAGCAGGACGATACTGAACTTTGATCCAGAGTAAATTGCCAAGGCAACCACGTTAGACCTAATGGCTGCATATGCAACGATAGCAGTGTGGTCTTGTATTACACCACTTATCAAACTCTGGGAACTGCAAATCCAGCCTTGTTAATAATCATCATGACCTTTATATCAAGAATACGTAGAAGACTTACCAGCCTGCTGGGGTAGCAATCGTGATATAGTTTGTTGTAATTTGCACCACTCCACCATCAGCTTCACGGACAGTTAATGTTGTTGAAGACAGGTCGTATGGGATGGCCTCGTGATCTTTCTCTGACGCCTCAGCGAGATCCCGAGTCAGATGTAGAACGGCTGACTCGTTGGGAAGGGCCAGAATAAGAAAGAACCCATCTTCTGCAACACCGCCAAAGTCGGAAATAGCCCAGCACTGCCTAATGTTGGAGGAGTACGTGAGGTCTAAACCAATTCTAGCCTGGACTCCGTATCGAAATTCTGTAATGGCACCGCTCATGCCTCTACCGCTGCAAGCAAAAATCTTTTCTTGCTGTAATGGAATTATATTCCCATTGCTCGCCAGGGATGAAGCATTAGAGTCTTCATTGATTTCTTCGATGGATCCTCTTGCTGAGTTCGTCATAGCAAAGTCTACTATAGGAGACCAATTCGGAATCGAGCCAATTCTCTGCGGAGACTGCCTCGCTTGAACCTATACATGATATTAGTGTTAGCTAAATGGCTATATTTATGCTAAGGGCAACTCACATTCCAAACTGCACCAGGGCCAGAGTCCCCACCAGTGACTAGGATATCTCCGAAAGGATGGAAGAGAGAGGCAAATGCTGTGTCAATGTTGCAGTCCACAGACCCCATGCTAACACTGGTTTCGATTTCAAACTCGTCGCCGCATTCCAGAAAATTGATAAAGCCGTCTTCTCTCGCTAGGTATATGACATCCTTACTATCGTGGTACGGGGGATGGCGTATAGGTCTGGTCCATGCTGTCCATAGCGGTTCGCGAGTGCCGTGGTGTAATGAAGTATCCTCCCGATTTACTAGTTCAAATTGGACAAATACAGGGGATCCGCTTAGTATATTTGAACAGGTTGCCGTAATTCGCTCCGTAATGACCAAAAACGCATTGCGCACTTTCAGAGGTACAACCAACAGAGGCATGCGATAATCATTGTCAAGACGATAACCAAATTGCTCATCCATAAAGGTCTCTGGAATATCGAGCCTACTATCCCATTCGTATATTGCTAGCCTTGAAATATCAGGCTGGACCAAAATAACCATCATTATCACTTGTATTTCATTCCCATGGGTTGGATGAAGGAACTCGATCTTGTGGATGATGCCCCTGACCGACCGAGCTGCCCTATTTTTTATGGGCTGAAAAGGTTGCTTGAGAAAGTATTGGGCTTGTAGATCCTCCATCGAGTGAAGCTGAAACATGATGAAGAGGCTGTCGGAACATGCAACAACTAGAAAGTTCGAGGAAGGGTCAATAGCCATATGGAATCCAGGGCAAATGAGACGCTGTGCAGGAATCTTATGGGTGGATGTAAAGAAGACCCAACTATTAGCAGGCCCCTGCTGCAAGAACAGAAATACCAAATCTCCCCGTTCGAGCACCAAGACTAATATTTGAGGAGGGAGCTTGGAGTTCACATCTCGGAAGCCGGGCAGCGTAGTTCCCATGTCGACCATTCCTGAATCACCGTCCTCAGCTTTAATATGCGTAGTATCCTCGTTGATCTCGCTAGCTTTGCGGGAATACTGAGGCGAGCCCATGACCACGGCATTTCGTATTCTGGAGCCGAAATCTTTCTTCCTAACGACATCATGGAGCTGCCTATCACGACCAAGCTCACATATTTGAACGCAGTTATCCTATTTCAAGGTCAGAATAAGCGAGAAAAGTCAAAGGAGAGTAAGAAACTTACACCGATTAATGCGACGTCATTATACCTGGCTGACCGAAGCTGCACAGGTAGCACCCATCTTATAACAGGACTCTCAACAACCGTTCTTGTGAGTAGGCCACAGGTTGGCGGTTTGGAGAAAGACTGTCTTCCCGTCTTACGGTGAGGAGTGCTATTATCTCTCATAAGCTCGTCGGCAGAGATGGTACGTGCCACCCATTCGTCATTTTCGAGAACATAGGTTTGTAACGACATTGTTAGTTTCGAAACAAGATCACCGAATCAATTATGATGGGTGAGGGTTCTGGAAACAATACGTTATGTTGACCTGGCACAGGTGGCGAATATTTCGCAATATTAGGTAAAGATATCGTTAGGTTGTTGTTACCGACAACGTTATCAAGAAACCATTCATTGATATATTGGTTAGGGAGGATTCGTAATGACTTTTGCAACCGGAAAAATACTTTGATAGGTCTCAAAATCTAGGATTAGAGGTCCTGGGGAATAGAGGAACGCTGACAGATAAATGGAAGTCCAGTTTTATCAAATTAGAAGATGTTATAGAATAAAAGCCCAGGATACTAATAATGTTAAAGAAATGCTCAACCAAGGTTGCTGGCTATCCCAGAAGAGGTAGATATATAAAGGTATCTAACCTTGCATATGGCTGTTTGGAAGTCTATTCGGATTCCCTAACCCGGTGAAGACAAAGTGCTGCTTGGAATTCACTGCATATGTCTATTCGCTAGACATTAGTCGTTATTCTTCAAAAGTCGAGGCCTAATCTTGGGTGCCAGCGTTCCGGGGGGGTTAGGGGTTTGTCCAGACGTATGGAATTCTGCAAAGCTGCAACTTTGACTCAGACTCAGCAGTATTGGAAAGCTGCAGTGCCTTTTTAAAAATGATGCGGGGAAGCAATCAGTCGCGTGTCGTTGGCCTTGCAGATGCATTGGAAAGGTGTTTGGGTCTTTCTTCCCTCAATTTTGAGATGCAGGAAGCCAAGTACATGTATAGCATGCAGGCAGCACAGGTAGTACCTATCTCTAGTCTAATTTTTTTTTGTCGTACAGGCAGTCTGTACATGTACACCATAGGTTTCCTAAGGCGCGGAGAAGGTGGAATCTAGACGGTGTTGCGGGGCTAAAGCTTCCCATTATACCTAACCGAGTACCTAACATTGATGTATCTGTATCAGGTATCTACATAGTATAGGAGGTACCTTATCTAAAAGTACATACATGTATGGACCTAACCTAATGGATCTCTACATGCTCTCTTTACTTTCACATTTTGTGACACTCTTCATATATTGATTATAAAATGCTTATAGAACGAGCTCAAATAATTAATAACGTAGTAATTAGATTGGTTTATATTTAAAGGATACCTGTTATGACATAGGAAAGAAATTATAGTTTGGGTTGAAATGCAGGTAATCGTTTCAAATGTGCCCTGAATTAGGTACCTAATGCAGTGATCAAAAGTAAAACCCAACTTTGTTGTACATATAAGGTAGCCTAGTGTTACCATTTTCTTTAAGGTAGGTACTAGGTAGCATGCATGTATGTTCAACCACGCAATATTCTTATTAAATGGCTATTACACGGTATACTACGCTCTTATTCTAGTTAGAACTATGGGGATCTGCTACATCAGGTTAAATCGTCCCTGAGAGATAGTGTGCTAATGCTTCACCCGCATCTCAACATAAGTTAGTCCTATGGAGTTTTCTCTGTCGGGAAAGATGATCGAATGTCGTCCGGGAACAAAGAGGCGCACCGGGATATCAAATTCCTTATCTAGATTATATTTATAGAAGCTGGGGGGGAAAGACAATAGCCTTGTCCGGCAATACCTAGGTTCCTCTACCTTACCTGAGGTACCATTTCAACACGGAGTCATGTTTCTAAACAGCAACTATTTTTTTTATCCACACGAAAGAGCCTTTAATTATCAAATAGAAGTGAGTAAAAATTATTGTGCATGTAGCTAGAAAATACTAGAACCGCCTACCTACCTCATTGTACATATGAATGCAGGTGTACAACTAACTAAGGTACAATACAAAGTACCTACAAAGGCTTGGCCCTTATCTGCATTAAGTCCTTTAAAGTTTAGGTAAGCGGTTTTAGCGCAGTGGTTCCCGGGATCACCCCTGGCACCTGCACATGGCGCCGCAAGGGTAGCTCACCAGACGAGATGGACCCACCCTATTTCCCGACCAGCTGCCAGCATCGAAACATTGAACCTTTTTGGACTCTTTTCTTTTAAGTTCACTTATTTATTCTCACTTCCTTCGTTCAAGCCCAATATATGACATCCCGATCTGCACCCTTTAGGTTCTCATTTCCTTAGGAATCAAGTTGATTTGATTCTTCCTTTTAAAAACTACGTGCTTGGCTCGAGCCTTACGAGACTTATACGAAAGGACACCTTTCTAGATAAATATATTTCCTGGGTAGGCTTGCCCAATCCGGACGCAAGTCCCTAGGGACTCAGGCTGTGCCTAGAGAGTTTTCCGTCTTGGACGACGCTATAAGGGGGCAAAAAGCGGTATATCTTGGAATCTTCTTTGCCTGTATGGTGTCAAATGCTATAGTTGTAACCCTTATATAGGGCAGCAGCATGCTATTTGTTCATATAGATGCACAAGGTACCAACTAAGGCAACCTGACGCGCAGTAAGGAACGGGAAAGACCGAGGTGCATAGATCCCATGGCCCAGGAATATGAGGACGTCGACGGCAGCGAGGAGAAAGACGACTTGGGTTTTCGTGATGCGCCCGCATTAACCCGCAAGCATACCCGCATCCTAGATGCATGCAGGCGGAGAGACATCGACGATCTTCAGGCCTTAGCCATATCGAGGGGTGGATTCCTCACCGACACCATCCGTTGCCAAGCATGTGAGTGTCCCGCGCGTCGCGCCTCGTCTATCCTACTCACTCCCGTTAAATCGGGATCATAAGGCTCAAGGTTCTTCAACAGGGCCAATATTGCTGGGCGTTCACACCTACCAACGTGGGGAGCAGGAGGAAAGCTCCGATTCGTGGAGAAAGCTAGAACAGCATCGAGACGAAGGCCAGGTCAAGCTAGATGTTGACCGGAGCTTCGTCTACTACCCAAACGGTACGGGATGCAATGCATAGCCCCACAAGCACCCCCACGCCCTGAGTAAAGCTGACCACAGTGGCTAGATGATACCCAGACACAACTCGACAAGAAGAAATCACAGCTCTCAGACCTTATCACCGAGGTCCTCCGACGGCACCCATACCTCTGCTACTTCCAAGGCTACCACGACATATGTCAAGTCTTTCTACTGGTTCTCCCGCCAACCACGCGGGCCGCAGCCGTTGCCCGCCTATCCGCCCTACGCATTAGGGACTTCATGCTACCAAGCCTGAACCCGTCTGTTGCGCAACTAAGGCTGATTCCAGACATCCTTCGGGCAGCTGACCCAGCGCTGTGTGCTCATGTGTCACGAACAGAACCCTTTTTCGCGTTGTCAGATACGTTGACTATGTTCGCGCACAATGTGCGACGGTACAGCGATATTGCACGCCTGTTTGATGCCCTACTAGCTCGCGAGCAGGCTTTTACGCTTTATGTCTTCGCGCAGATCGTCCTGCGCCGTCGGGACGAGCTTTTCCAGCAGGACGAGCCTGATATGCTACACTTTACCCTTTCAAAGCTACCCGATGACCTAGATCTCGACGCCGTTATTGCCGATGCCGCCACTCTATTTGATAACCACCCCCCAGAATCTCTACGTGGGTGGCACTCCGTCTCAAGTGCCAGCACTTTAAAGACTACACGTGATGTAAGTGTATGTGCTACGCAAACCCTGGAAGACGGACATAAGTACTTTGAGAAACAGTGCCGCGAGCTCCAATGGGCGCAGCGGCAGGAAGAACTACTCCGGGCCGCATGGGCCAACAGAACCTTGATCTTAGCCGTAGTCATCGGCGCCGGCGCCGTGTACTTCCGGAAAGCACCTATATGGTCAAGTCTCACCTCGTGGTCGATCCCGAGCCATTATTTCTAGGATACTAGGATGGTCGGACGACGACGATACGGTGGATGTTCCAGGATTTTATATGTTTTTATGGAGAGGTACGTGAGAAAGTGTATGAATACAAGCTTAATGAGTCCTTGAATTATATGCAAACTGGACTGAAGGGTTGGGTTTATATTGAGGTATATGCTGCGACTCGCAGCTTGGAATGGATGATGGTATTGGTGGATAAGTTAGGTACACATACACTGAACTGGGGCAACCTGTCTACTCTCGAGACATTGAGGGTCATCTTTGGAGGCATGGTGGGTGGGTGAATAAATGATACGGTGGCACAAAAGCACATGTAATAGGACAAACAAGCTACATGAGGTAGGTGTTCTTGGAAGTTAGATAGGCAGCTGGCTCTTATCAAACAGCTAGGTACCTAAGCTAGCCCTCTCTTCGAAACGCAGTCTCATTTAATCGTATCGTCTCTTAGTTTTCTTGTCATACATAATTGTACCTATAGGTAGTTAATCTATCATCCAGAACCCATCCCTAACTAAATTTCTCGCGAGAGCTCAAGCAGCTTCTTGAAAAGCCGTCTTTAGCCCCTCGAAGTGCTCCTGTTCTTCATCTGCCAATTTGCCCTGCGTATCGCTGATGATTGTCAGGATTAGACTGTAGTTATTATACAGGAAGCGCTCCCTTTTCCTCTTATCGGTACCAAACGCCGCGCTGTATTTCGTTAAGAAGGCCTCCATCTCGCTGCGAAGTCTCCGTAAGCTTGTGACTACGGGTTCGTCGTCTCCACCCTCCGTGCTCAAGGCCAGGATACCGTGGAGCAGCTGTCCAAAACGTTGAGTACAGACGTGCGGAGCAGCGGAAAGCTTGCTCTGCTCAGCTTTGGACGTTGGAGGGCGCGTTGGTAATCCCGTGGTGAGAGCACGAACGGACTCGCAATGCGCATTCATGATGGCCTGGAGGCGCGGCCACAGCAGCATAGCCGTACCATTGAGGTACCCATCTGCGGCGGGGACCTTGCGACGCTGCAACTCAAACTGGAAGTGCTGATTCAAGCGGACGGCAAGGAGGACGCCAATAGCGTCGTACGTGTCGCCTATGAGGGATTTAGTCAGCGTCTGGCCGAGCTGGAACGTCGGCTCAAATATGTAAGTAAAGTGGCGCGAGATAGTAGAATAGTTCAAAGCGGGAGAGAAGAACGAGGCGAGAAATGTGTACTCGGCCGTTGCGTTGTCGATCAGGGCGAGATTAAAATTCCGGAAGGGGGCTTCGAGGTAGTGGGTAGACTGGTCTTCTTCAGCTAGATATGATGAGAGCGCACTTTGGTTATGAGTGCGTAAAAGGTCAATCCGCCGACCCAAGTTGAAGGCATCGTGAGGTGGGCCGGAAATTTTCGAACTTGAAAGGACCGTGCCTTTCCTGGAAGTATCTTCGTTCCCCAATACATCCGTCTTATCCAAGGAGTGTAGCTTGATCTTTCGGAGGGCGTTCTCATAGCGTGTAAACTGGTTGGCGTAGTACCACCGCATAGTATTCATATACGCCTGGCATATCTCATCGGCGAGTGCAGCATGATGTTTATGGAGGAAGGAGTATAGGTCTCTAAATTTGAGGAAATTCTGCTGTTGTATGATTTGCGCGTTAATATGTGGTGACCGGAGGGCCTTGATCTGGGCGACGAGGAAATCTCTTATTCGTTCGGTAGCTTTGAGCACAAGCTTCTCTAATAAAGGACCGAGATCTTGCAGTCCCTTAGCACCCTGCGCACTCGCAATATTCTTCTTATGGGCGGTAACTCTCTTATCGATCTCCGCAACTACCTTTACCCAGCCTTCGTCGATATGGCCGTCGGCAACTTTGGATACTACCGTAGGGGATACACTGATCTCCTCAACTACTGGCCCTAGCCCCTTCTCTACTGCCCTTCGGTTTTCCAGTCGCACATTAAGAGCTGTAGATCGTGCTTGTAATGTTTCGATATCCGCCGACACAGTCGCAAGATCGTTTCGAAAGCTTGTCAGGTTGGTCTCTACCGAGCTAAGTACCTCGTCGCAGGCTCGTATTGATCGGTGTAGCTCTTCGAACTTGGCTTTATCTCGGTCATCTAGCAAGCAGAATAGTGAGTAGGGCGAGAGTGGAGTCTCGGATAAAAAGGGGGCATACACTCTTCAGCCGCCTGCGGTCTATATACAACAGCAGCATTTACTGCTGCTTCCTCTGATACTGCTAGCTCTCGGATAGACAAGCCGCCAAAATCGAATTCCAACTGAAGATCTTCAGGTGATATCGAGCTAACCGAGCTGGCCGCTGACTCGGTAGCTGGTGTTGCATGCTGCTTATCGTCACCCAAGAGCGCGTTTAATACATCTACAGGATCAGGTCCATTATATATCGTGCTCGATTCCTTCAATGTCGAGCCATTGGCTCTTCGTGAAGATGCCAAAAGGGAAGAAGCTGAAGATTCGGTGGATGCTAGGGACAATGACGAGGATCTAGGGGTAACACCCGGTCGCTGCTGAGATGTAATGTACGGACCTAATCCACTTGGTGTTCGACGAGGCGCGGGAGAGTACGAGCGGCTACCAGGTTGGGAGGGAGCAGGAGACGATGACTGACCGGCAAGCCGATCGAGCCACATATTCTAGATGCGAACGGGAGATGTGCTATGAGTCGGGCCGCGTCATGACTCTCTATTAGCTATGGGCCGCGCCGTCAAGCTAATAAGACAAATACAATTCGACTAAAACGAGAGAATTGCAAAAAGAAAAGAGTGTCAGAAATAGAAGACGTATATTATTCGCGATAAATGCATCAGTCAAGAAGTTAGATATTGGTGAGGACCCAAGAAACAGACGAGGCCGTGCAACAGCCTCTCCCGAGTCGCAGAATTAAAGATGATGATTGGTTAAAGCTTTAGACACATGTCATTGTGAAGTATCGATACCATATCGGGTTTAGATTAGCATTATGCGATGTACATAAGGCTAAGTTTACCTTTAAGCCACGGACTTGATAAGATTAAGAAGTGGGTCAATCTTTACAGAGTCGGGACTCATGATCAGTGCCAAGGAACGGAAATAATACAGATTATATTATGTAGGTACCTAGGTAGGTAGGTAGGTACTTACAGTGCGTACATATCTCCCCACGAGAGCTATTGGAAGTTAGATGCGTAAGGTACCTAGGTATCAGTACTCCAAAGTGATAAACTACGAAAAGGTTTTAGTAGCGATCATAAATTTACAAAAACGGAAATGATTCTTGCTTCCTCATATAGGTGCACCAGCGCATTCCATGGGGTATTGACACAAGGAAAATTCCAATGTTTGCGTGTTAGCTCTAGTATATCATGCAACTTAGAGATTAAGTACCTAGCATTAGAGACCTTTTGCCCCTCCAAACAAAGTATTTGCAGTTGTGAGAGAGGGGCAAGCACCAAAAGAAAAAGAAAAAAACCTTAAACTCTCACTAAAGTTTTGAAGAGAAGTACTGTTGATTAGGCTGGTAGTGCCCTGTGAGTAGACAAAATTAGTGATCAATTTGTGCGAATCTAACCGCCTAGACTGGCCTAGGCTGCCTGAAAACCCACAAAACCCTTCCCCGTCAAAGTGCTTGAAGGGAAAAAATATGTAAAAGCAGCTGGAGCTCCTTGGATTAGTGGGGCTGATTCCCAAGCACCAACCTAACAAGCCAATCACATACCAGGCAAACTGTGTGTCCAATTGATTCTGAGAAGAAAAAAAAAATCCCGTCTTTTGCCCTTGACGGTTTCCTCCACTCTACTTTTTTTCAACCCCCTCCCTCTACATCTTCCACATCTTCCCAATCCTTCCCCTCTACAAAAAAAAAAGGCCACCAACTCATATTTCAGTCTTGGACATTTAGCTGGGCCATTTGTGCATCTTCCTTTCTCTTCTACTCTAACAACACTTTCACTTCGGTCAATCCTTCAAAATGGCGGACGAGGTACGTTCAAGAAACACCCTGTCCCTCTTTTTTTTTTTTGGCGATCGCAAAGGCGGGCAATGGCGGGCTGGTACCTAACCACCCCGCATCCGCATCACCACGCATTAAAGCATCCGGCACGCATCGCCAATGAACCCCGCGATGCTAGATGCGGCCATATTCGTTGCACACATAGAATTTTATCTAGCTACTATTTGCGACCGCGATTTTAAGTACTAGGTCATGGCGTAATGCTAACAAGATTTCTTACAGTTCGAGATCGACAACCAGGGCGATGCCGGTGCGTCTGCCACTTTCCCCATGCAGTGCTCTGCTCTGCGCAAGAACGGTGCCGTCGTTATCAAGGGCCGCCCCTGCAAGATCGTAGACATGTCCACCTCCAAGACCGGAAAGCACGGTCACGCCAAGGTCCATCTCGTCGGTATCGACATCTTTACCGGCAAGAAGCTTGAAGAACTTTGCCCTTCCACCCACAACATGGAGGTCCCCGTTGTCAAGATTAAGCAGTACAACTTCGTGAGTACATAGATTTTCTGCGGAATACAATTTGGGGGCCAGATTATGCTAACCTAACCATCAACTATCATTAGTCTCACCTTGAGGATGGCTTCATTGTTCTCCACGACATCAACACCAGCGAGGAGCGAAGCGACATCAAGGTCCCCGAGGGTGAGATTGGTAACAAGATCGAGGCTGCCGATGAGAACGGAACCCCTCTTAGTAAGTTATAAGTTTCTCCTCGGGTTAACTAGTCGCAAAATAACTAACCCCGTTTAGTCATTACCATTCAGTCCGCCATGGGCGAAGAGGCCGCCATCAAGGCCGACGAGCCTGCCCAGAAGGACTAAATCTCCAGTTAGGGGACTTAGGACTCAGGTAGAGGATGTCACTGGATCGAGTGTTACTTATGGGCCTCGACCAACTTGGACATCACCAGAAGGGAGGGTTGTTTAACTAGCAAAATGGTAGCTAGGTTCGTATTGGACGCTGACCCGCGGGGTTTTGCGTACAAATGTGCTATCCACTGTGGAGGAATCAAACATATGGTACGATAGTCCTCGAATTTCGCATCTATCCCCATCTCTTTGAGGAACAAAAATGATGTGCATTTTGAGGATTTCAGCAAAACAGGTCTCCTGTTTTTATTAGCACTTGACTTGTCCTACAGAATCTACGAGATCTCCCTTTATTTTTATATTTGGTGATAATGAACGATCATATTTATGTGACTTGGGAGCTATTTAATTCCAATTTACTCACATGTGAATTTTACTTCGATGCGATTCTGTGTTTACATGTAGGTTTAGTTGGTATCAATATTCCACGATCTGAAGGTCATCTAAAATGGGATGAGTATCGAATCTCCGTCACACAAGAGGTAAACTAGGTTTATCTAACTCTGCAAAATCTATGACAAGGTGTGAAATAGTGAACCTAAACACCTTGGGACAATTTCAGGGGCTAACGAGGAAATGGATTTGTTGACTACCATATACTGCTTAGAATTGTGAGTTGAATATGATGTGCCTACTAAATTATAAACAGAGGTAGATGCTGTAACTTGGAAAATAAGTATTAGAAATATAATTATATTTTCTCTATAGGAAATAAGTGTGTAGACGTGCTGTTAGATGATAGGTAATGACTCTTGGGCACTTTTCAAAATAAATATTATTTCTCTTAAACACCCCACTATTGCTTTTTCACCTTCTACCTTCCTTTCAATAGACAACAAGAAACCAACACTTCGGGATGGCACCCACCAAGTATAATCGCTTCCGCGGTGGCGAAAGGTGCGATGAATGCGGCGCGCGGCAATGGTATGCGCAAGACGCGATTCGATATTGCCGAAATGGGCACCGTCTTGAAGGGTTTGCGGAACACCAGGGCGACGAGGACGACTTTGGGACCCAGGGAAAAGTCTCGCGGAAGAAAAAAGAACCTAAGAAGAAGGTCGCTGTTAAACTCGCCGGCGACGAGGGAAGAGAATTATACCTCGAGGTCCTACAGCTCATACTTCTCAGGCAGGTCTGGTGGCTCGTCCGGGAGAAGGGCTTCCCAGAGGACTTCGAGGAGATCGTGAGGGCGCTCTGGGCGCTGAGGGTACGAAACCTACCGCTGATGGAAAGCGGAGGGGTAACCCGTAAGAGGAAAGGAGATGTTCATGAAGAGACGGACGACTACGCGTCGAGCGCGCCGTTGTTTAGCTCCCAGAGCGAAGGGACGGGAGCTGAATCGTCGGCTTTCGATCTTTCTGATGCTACAACGGCTACGTGGGCCCCAGATGCCGGTAGGCGATGGAAATTGCCGAAGCTCGTCGATACCTTGGCGATGTGTTACTTGGGGTGCTTGGTGCGACGGTTACCGGCTACGACGGCAGATTTCTGCGGCTGGGCGCAAAGGGGGGAGTTGGATTTTCTTGCAGCGGTATGACCCCTATCTAACAACTCTCGTCAACGTCCCATAGATTATAGTGTGATGCTAATATAGCTACCACTTCAAGTTTAATAAAATTCCACGTAATGTCCGGGACCGTCTACCCGCAGAGTATCATAGCGCTCTACAAGTTAGGGATCATATCCCAGCGGGTCGACTACAGGCATCCATACAAGAGTTGGTGATATCGTTTAAGGTCAACTTCGACACTATCTTCCCACCGATAAATTATCCACCCATACTTGTACGACTCATAACAGAGTTGACTCTTCCAGGTAAGCTTAAGTAGACATATGGTAAGTAGAAATCTTCTAGCTAATCATACTTAGTCGAAGTATACCTCGTAGTAAAATGTATTACGGAGATTTTGAAGACGGATTACTCTTATCCTATAGGAGGAAAAAGGATTCGGGCGATGGATAACCCAGAAGTACTACTACTCGCTCTGATTGTCGTGTCAGCGAAACTGCTTTACCCATTAGATGGCGTTGAACGACTTCCCCGAAGCCACCACGATCCTCGAAGTGTGACTATCGACTGGGGAAAGTGGCAGGAAAGTATGCAAAACGATACGGTGGAAACATCATCTACATTATTACGAGGCGAAGAATATCAAGTTACCCCCGAGGACGCCCTTACCATGGAAAAGGGGAAGATGGACGACTTCATGGACTGGTTTGAGAAGATGTGGATAGGAGATGGCGAACCAAGAAGTATGCAACATCATTCTATTTTTATTATCGATTTGACAATTTTAACTAACCCCTTTTCTAGCGGCTGAAAGGGTTCGAGAGCCTTTCCAAGGACAAAAACGACTGTCGCAACCAAGCAGTTTAAACGATCAAATAGGAAATAGGGATAGGGAGAGAGAACAAATAAGAAGCAGATATGAAGCTTTGAGTAGTTCTATGAAAATACTTGAACCAGTTCCCGTTGATCCCGAAGACTTAAACAAGAAGCAGTCTCAAGATTTCTGTCCGGTCTGGCGCACACCAGAAGAACTCCCGGACGCGGCTAAAGTTTTCTATAGCAAGGCAGCGAGTATGTCGTATATACCATTACATACGCTTGTTAGAGGTGCTACGCAAGTGGAAAGGCAGTTGGAAATTTGGTGTATTCAAAGAGCTAAAGAACGAAACAAGGGGAAGGGGAAGGGGAAGGGCAAGGCGGTTTGGACTGGCGATGACTCTGATTAAAAGAATATTTACTATGTAGTTATTTAACTCTATGCTTAGTTCCTAATGCTAAATATAAGATATGCATATATTAAAACCAATGCATTGAGAAGTCATTTTTACCATATTGTTTAATTGACCTAATAATTTTTTGTATAAGTCATGAAATGCTAACATTGAACTGGTTGATAAGCTTCGTAGCACAGTGCGTTACTTTATAATTGCGAACAAAGCTAAAGGTGGGGTTAAGTATCCACCAGCTGGCCCCGGCTGACATAAATTTCTGGCACACAATGCCACTTCTCTCAAGAATTAAAAATCAGGTGACTTTCAATCCACTAGGGTTCGTTTGCCGTGGAATTTCAAACCCCCACCGAATTTCCCAGGCCGACATCATCTTGGAATTCTCCCTCAACATCTTCATTCACGACAGACAGCAAAAAGTAAGTCAACACCACCCTCTACGGTGTTTTGAATTGGCTCATACTAACTGAAATGCATCTATAGTGCAGATGTAAGTTCATTTCCAGATTAAAATGCAATGCGCGCACTACATATTACCGACCGATCGACCAACCAGACAAATCCGAACATGAGAACTGACGAGAAAATAGCTTCGTGAAGACCCTGACGGGCAAGACTATCACCCTTGAGGTGGAGTCTTCCGACACTATCGACAATGTCAAATCCAAGATCCAGGACAAGGAGGGCATTCCCCCCGACCAACAGCGCCTGATCTTCGCCGGCAAGCAGCTTGAGGACGGCCGAACCCTCTCCGACTACAACATCCAGAAGGAGTCTACCCTCCACTTGGTCCTCCGTCTACGTGGTGGTATCATTGAGCCCTCGCTCAAGGCCCTCGCCTCCAAGTTCAACTGCGACAAGATGATCTGCCGCAAGTGCTACGTGAGTTCTTCCCAGTCTACGAGTTTATCCTCCAGTACCTAGCAATCCTTAATACTAATATTGAAAATAGGCCCGTCTTCCTCCCCGTGCCACCAACTGCCGCAAGCGCAAGTGCGGCCACACCAACCAGCTTCGACCCAAGAAGAAGCTCAAGTAAACTATTCGTCACAACATGTTCCATCTCTTCGGCGTCTTTGGTTTGGGGTGTTATCATGAGCACGCTACGGACGGGTGGATAGATATTATCGACACCACTGCGATGGGAATTTTTTTCTGCGGAAATAGCTATGCGTAGGCTAATTTCGGTGGCAATCAAATTGCGATGCACATGAGTAATCTGAATGCACATACAAACCAGTGAATTATTTTGGTGATCGATATGCCGCATAAGAAATATTCCTTTCCGTTCAAATTGTAAATTTACGGCATAGCTGTACTGTGGTGTTTTTACTATTTAAAGCCTTGCCTCTCAACTTGCTAACAATTTGCCTATGCATCGTGGGGTTACTCTTTAGGTGTGTTCTTTGAGAACAATCGTCCAAGATGCTACGTAACAATTATGTTTAAAGACCTTTGTAGCAGGTTGTAAATGGTATTAATTATTATGCGCAACTCTAGATATAATGATGCATGTGCGTTCAATTAAAGATTTATATGGTATTGACATAAGATTTTATGAAGCATTTAATACATGCAGGTACATGATGGTGCTTAGATTGGGTAGGTTAGGTACCTCTTTCTTCTATCTGTTCTGTCCAATGAAACGTCATCGCTGGAGCTTGCACCTTGTAAATTAAACGCGGCTAAAGATCGGCGTGCTTCCGTGTCCTCAAACAGCACCGCAGCTTCACCTTAAGTCATCGTCTTCGCAATAACCAAACCAGGTTGTTTGGTCGTTCCACCCTAGGTACCTATATATCGACCCCAAAAAGCTGTCTTCTAGGATCTGATCTGGAGTCGACATAAGAGAAGATATAAAGATGGCAAACGCAGGCTACGACGCTGTCGTAGATATTGACGATGAGGTATGTTTGGCAACCAATTACTCTCTTACCCTGGGGAGCTTTTATATACATGTATAGCATGGTTTCAATGCTTGTTGGCATCGTATCGCATAGCATCGCACAATCTGCCAGTCTACTAGCTATATACATACAGTATGCATGTTATACCAGCAATACTAACACCACTCACCACCACAGGGCGACCTAGGCCACACCGACCTCCAAGAAGACCTCGAATTCCACAACTCCAACTTCTCCGAGGGCCAACAAGCGCGCAAAGGCGGCGGTCCTCCCTCCTCCCTCAACAGCGCGGCCCCGGGCCTCCCGCTCCCCGCGACTGCCAGTTCTGGTGGCCCCGTATCCTCGAAGCGGTACCTGTGGACGCTGTCGTTCTACGCGCAGTTCTTCGATGTGGATACGTCGAGCGTGCTGGCGCGGTGCTGGGCCGCGCTGTACCCGCGCGCCAACTTCCTCGACGTGCTGGAGGGGAATCCGGATCTGTACGGGCCGTTCTGGATCGCGACGACGGTGGTGCTGATCTTGTTCCTGGGCGGCACCATCAGTGCGTATTTGGCTAGTGAGGGCAAGGGCGCGTTTGCGTATGATTTTAAGTTGTTGAGCGGTATGTCTCTTTGTTTCTTTCCTGGAGGGATTTGGGCGTGTGGAGTATGAGGGGGTGAGGGGGGTTATGAAAGGATAGGAAGAGAAGAGAGAAGGGAGAAGGAGCTCATGCTAACGAAGATACTTCCAGGCGCTGCTGGTCTCATATACGGGTACACCCTAGGAATCCCCGTAGTTCTGTTCGGCGCGCTACGATACTTCGGCTCCGAATCTGCGAATCTACTCGAGTGCTGGGCGCTGTACGGGTACTCAAACCTGATTTGGATCCCCGTGGCGCTGATCAGCTGGTCGCCTATCACGATCCTCAATTGGGTTTTCGTGGGTGTCGGGTTCGGTCTCAGCGTCGCTTTCTTGCTGCGCAACTTATACCCCGTCCTCAGCGCCACCGATCGCCAGACCAGCAAGATTCTGCTTATCCTTGTTGTGGCTCTACATGCCGGTCTAGCTATCGCCATTAAGGTCCTGTTCTTCGCCGCCGGAAGCCCTGTTGCGGGAGACAAGCCGGGTGATACACCGCCTGCGGCTGGAGGGGATAAGCCGGAGGGCGATGCCATGTTCCTTTTCTAAGGGATTATGTGTTATATGTATCTATTTATGTGGGAAGAGAAGAAAGATGTGCCGAAATGGCAAGGTCGAGAATGAGATGGAGGGCTTCACCGGATATTATGCTTTTATGGCGTTGGGCAGGTTATGTGCAATAGTGTTATGTACACTACCTTTAAGCTAACTGATACCTTTCCGTTCTAATGTCTCATGAGATTAGTCTTACTTTTAATCTTGGCTTGTCATTTTTCTTCTATTTCTCGTCTAGATCCAGAGCTCTGGATGATAGCTCTTGAGTTCTCTCTTACTTGCTTTGTACATGCCGAGATTAGAAAGGTAGAGTATCAGACAACTAGCCTTCCAGTTGTCATAATATCTATTCAGATCTCTCATGTCTACAATCCCCAAGGGTCCTCATATCGACCTCACCTCACCTCATCACACCTACCGCTCAATCTCGCCCCCCCTCCGCACCCAATCCAGCCAGCTCCCAGGGTACTCACCCACATTCTTCCAGCCCGCCTCGCGCGCGATCTGCGCGGCAGCTCGACTGCGCACGCCAGCCTTGCAGTAAAACACCACCGGCCCGTCGCTATCAGGCGCCGGCCGCTCGAACCCGAATCGGTCGGCGAACTCGTCTGCCGGAATGTGGAAACTGTCCGGCGCGCTGGCGATCGGGATGTTGAGGGCGCCGGGGATGCGGCCAGTTGAGGATAGCTCGGAGGGCTCGCGGGTATCGATTATGGTTACTTTGGGGGTGGACGTTGGGGTGGACAAAGCAGCTTTGATCTGGGGGGAAGAAGTTAGTTTGGTTAGTTAGTGAGGAGATCAACTAACGCACCTCTTCAAATTTCCATATCTTACTCTCGGCTGCTGAATCCGAGGACCACCGGACGCTTATAGGGGAGATGCGCCGAAACAACTGTGGTCGCGCAACCGCTCCCGCTCCCACTGCCCCCCTCGTAGCCTGTGGACCCAAAGAAGTCGTGCCGAACGGAGCTTGCAGTATATATGTAGTTGTAGGAATAGTAGCCGAGCCCGAACTCGTAAGTCGGGAAGTTCCCCCGCGCAGAGCGGTAACAGCACCGTTTGTCGCAAGTCGTCGTGTCGCCATCGCGGGGGGGGGGGGGGCTTTAACAATGTGCTAACGAGGGTATATGTCTCCAAGTAAAAAAAAAATCTAATCACGTAGATATATATACCTATATATATGTTGACTGGTTTGCTCGCGATTGCTTGCACTTACACTTGCACTACTATGTACAGCTGGACAATATATACAAACTGCGCATAGTTTGCCTACTCGATGTAGCGGACGTAGGTAGAAATACACCAAGTGCTTCTATAATTTAGGTAATTCAACAGTCTAGCAACATTGGCGAATTACCGAGCTTATAGCTCTTGATTAGGTAACTCAACTGTAACTGTGATGTCAGAGTTAGGCAACACAAAGGTACATGAGTACTTCTATTATAAGACCTAAAGACCTATCACGAGTTAACATGGACATCCCCAAACTGATCTTATGATTCAGAGTCTTTTTAACATTTCATTACTTTCTTTCTCTGCCCCTAATCCTTTATGTCGGTTATCCTTTTCCGACTTCTCAAGCCAACCTAACTAACGTTACAAAGCCCGCTAGGTTCAAGGCAAGATATCATGCTTGTTCAAAAATTAGGTCTGATTCGGCCGCTATGGACGTTCTAACAGTCGTTGGTATCGACATCCCCGGCCATAGCTTATATACAAGACCAGTATTACTATTACTATATTCTACTTTCATTCCTTTCGTTACCCGGCAACATGGCCCTTCTTAAGCCTTTTCATGCTAATGTCATTCTCGATTAAGGACATTACCATTTCCTCTCCTCAAATGTTAGAGGGCAATCATCCTAATGATAATTAGCTTTAAGTACTTCCAAGTGGAATACAGAATGTGTGGAACATACCTTGGGGAAGATAGTCGCAAACACCTTGATCTCATCTGAGTCAGGCGTTGCGTGATGTTTCCAGTCGAGCTCAACCGAGGCCTTCCCGATCATGAGAGCCAAGTTGAGTTGGGCATAGTGCTGACCAAGACAGTAGTGAGGTCCAGTTCCGAAAACAAGATAGTTCTTGGCACCCTTCTCCTCAGCGTCACCAGTGTAATATCGCTCAGGGTCGAACTCGTCAGGGTTCTCGTACACTTCAGGATCGCGAAGAGCTACATATGTGGTTGGGATGATCATGGCACCCTTGGGAACGGTATAGTTCTCGGTAACAGGGAAAGCCTTCTTAGCCTTGTAGGGCACCATGATGACAGGAGGACGCCATCGGAGAAGCTCCCTGACGACTGCGCGGGTATATGTCATCGATTCGAGCTGATCTAGGTTCACAGGTGCATGGATATCGCCATTTCGCACGCGGTAGTTCTCCTCGCGGACACGGTCTAGGACATCGGGTCGGTTGGCTAGGACTTGGAACATGTTGGTGGCTGCACTTGAGGTAGCGTCTTGAGAAGCGAAGAGGAACGTAAACAAGGTTCGGGCAATTTCCATGTCGCTGAAATCGCGCAATACAGGCGATGGCTTCACCATGCCCTCGGTTGAGAGACCCTTTTCGGTAGCATCTCTCCATTTCTTGGAGGCAATCATATCCTTGATCCAAGCGTCCATGATGCAGGTAACATCACCGCCAGCAGCCATGCGAACCTTTGATTTAGCAGCGCATTTGGCAAGCTCGTCCATGACCATACGTGCGGCTTGCTTACCGTACCAAGTTCGGGTGTAGGGGATGATGATCGGAAAGTTGACGAGATCGAGAGCAGCGGTGACCAAGTAATAGTCATCGGCAATCTTCTTACAGGCAGAGTCGGGCATGTAATATCCGGCGAACGTTCGAAGCGAGACGGTACACATAAGCTCACGGAACTCGTGCATAAAAGGGATGGGCTTTCCTCCGGCCTCTTTTGTTAACCTGAGAAATCTAGCGAAGTACTCCTTGTAAACAGCCTCTTGGCCAGGCAGGTAGCATTCGAGAGCTCGTCGGGTGAAGAGACCGTTCAGGCCTTTGCGATAGTCAACGTGGGCCTTTCCATCTAAGAACACCCAGCTGTCCTCTCCGAGGATTTTCGTGGCAATGTCAACAACACATGGCTTCACGTATGTCGGCGAGTTGAAGACTTTACGAGACAAGTCGCGGGTAGAAGCGATAACAACGAACCTAGCACTGGGTTAATAAATCTCGATAAGACGTGGGTGGCATAGAAAAGGCGCATACTTGTGGAAGACAGAGACACAGCTCAAGGGACCGCTGTACCACTTCGCCTTATATTCTTCGAATTTGGGATTGAGAGACTCTAGGAAAGGGCCCATGAACGGCAGCTTGAACGCTGGTCCAACGATAGAGCCCTTTTGTACGAAATAGCTGACTGTTTACATCTCTGTTAGCCAACGCGATTCTGACCATACTCAAACTCCAAAGTATTACTAATACATACTCTGATCGTACGCGACAGCTACGGCAATGAGGGTAAACAGCCATGTCATAACGCTCGCATTCGCGATGGTATTAACCATATAGTCAACCTGGGGAGGTAGGCTCGCGACCGAAAAGTCGGCCAAAGGCGACGTGAAACTCGTCGCATTCGCAGCCATGGTGACCGCTAGCAGGAACTGTATCGGGCTGCTTTTGGTATAAGGTATATTGCGCCGAGGTCTTCTATGTAAAGTAGTCGTGGGAGAAGCGCCCAATATATCCCAAGATCCACCAGAGAAGGAATGGGAGTGGGAGGAGATCAGAATTAAAGGACGGCGACAACCCTTCGACACGGGAAAGAAGTTGACCTAAGGTAGAAAAGGTGAAAGGGGTGAAGAGGAGCGAGGTAGTGGTGGATATTTGCAGGAAATCTAAAGAAACCCACTAAAATTTGTTGGACTGGGAATATTTGATTATCGGAGAGAACATTGAATAGGTTACCTAGGTACCTACATGTAGAAAGGTACATTGAACCCTTCTTTTTTTGAATGGTTCGCACCCTTGCAATCGACATTACTCCCGCAATCTTATGCACGGATAGTGCGATATCCGCGCCTTCGGTACTTGTATGAACTCATACGAGTCCAGTTTTTAAGTTTCCAAGAGTAGCGTTCAACCGTTATTGCGATTCAACGGCCATCTCTAAAATATTATTTCCCTCTGCTGATTGGTTGACCCAGATCTACACATGCGCCTACGCTGCCCGCTCTTACTCTGCATATGTACATAGAGGTATGAATGTTACAGCAACTACTCCCCCTTCTCAATCCCGCATAGAAGAAAGTAAGTACTACAAAGTGTGTGATAAAGCAAGGGCAGTTACATATACATGCCTAGTTGGAACGCATGCAGCAAGTACCTGTTTATACTAGGTAGATTAGTGCTACGCCGTTCGGTCTATGGTACCCGTTAGCCTAGGTACATACACTATTATGGGGAGCTAACCTTATTCACTTTTGATATTAGCATGAACATTAGTATGGACATTTATAATTTGCTTCGCGCAAAAAAAAAAAATTTTAGTATCTAACGTATTACATATCCACAACAGCGCGTACCTGCGCGCATCTTGACGCTAAACATACGAGTATTCTCGTCTTCTCGTCTTCACTTTACGAAGAGGAACGATATCAAGTCCGCAATGGCTACCCATCAGATCATTCACATACGTCTATTATATCCATATCGGTTCATTCCACGAGCGCTTTGTTGACAAAGATGACAAAAACGCCCCTGTCCTAAGGTGATGCAATGCAAGTCACCTCAGAGGAGCTATCGCGCCCAGGACAGGTTTAATTACTTTGGAATTGGCCAATCATCGAAGCTAAAAGTCTCATTCCGCTATTCACCGCTCCTCGATTCGTGGCCCAAGCTTGCAGCTCGCAAATAACCAGAATACGAATACGAAAGGCCTAAGTTCGGATCACCAGGATGCGGAGGGTAGGTTAAATTGATGCAGAAATTCATTATGTCGATCATTCCTTTTATCTACATAACATCTTCATGTATATAACCAGCATGTCATTCCCGTAGGAGTAACTTCCTATTAGCAACCCAAACTTCAAAACGCTTATAAGCCGTCACTAAACATATTAGTGCTGTCTATACAAGTTCAACGTAGCACCCTTAAAGGAATATTACATATTGATTAAGAAAACGGGTAATAATTAAAAATTTAACCGAAATATTTTTATTTAAATATATTTTTTATTAAAAATTAAATAATATTAGTTAAAATAATATTTTTAATTATTAAATATAAAAATTTTAAAATTTATTTATTAAAATATTAATTTAATATTATTAATTTTTAAATTTTTTTAAATTAATTTAAATTATATATTTTAAGGTTAAATTTTTATTAATATTTTTTAAATATTATAAAAAAGTTTTATTATTATTAGTTAAAATAAGTTTATTATTTATAATATTTATTTAAATTAATTTAAAATAATTTAAATATATTAATTTATTTATAATTTTAGCGTTTAAATTAATTATTAATTTATAATATTTAAAAATTAATAAAGAAAATTTTAAAGGTAAATATTATTAGAAAAATTTTTTTAAATAATAATATTTAATAATTTTATTAAATTTGATTTTTATAATTTAAATATAGTTATATATTGTATATAATTTTAATATTTAAGTTTTAAAAAATATATTAATTTTATTTAATATAGTTTTAAATAGTTTTTAATTTTTATTTAATTTATAAATAGTATATTTTACGGCTAATATTTAATTATTTAAAAAAAAATTTTTTAAATTAATAAATTTATTAAATATAATTATATTAAGGTTATTTAAGTTTAATTTATTATATATATTTAAAACTATTTTTATATATTTTATATAAATAAAATATTTTCTTATAAATATATTTTTAAATATAAATATTTTTAATTTTTTTATTAATTATATTATTAATTTATTATAAAAGGAATAATTTATAATATTGTTTTATATATTATTATTATTTTTTATAATGTTATTATTATTATTTTTATTTTTTTATAGTTAAATTAAATTTAGGTTAAAATTATTAAGTTTATAATTTTAAATAATTAATAATTTATTATTTATATTTTTAATATTATTATTATTTTATAAAAATAATAATAAGATATTATTTTAAATTATTTAATAATTTATAAAATTATTATATAATATTAATAAATTTATAGGTTTATTTTATAACGTTAAAATTATAAAAATATATTTATAATTAATATATATTAAATATTTATTAAA